AAATGCCAAAAGGAGTTCTTTGCATACAAATTCAGGGACCACTGACATAGATTAAGTTTTGGCTCTAATTCTCCTCCTAATGCTAATGCAAGTATTTTCAACATAGAGTTAATTTCTAAAGCCTTACAAACTACTTTAAAACAGGCCTGTGAATGGTCACCAAGAAAAACATATCTTTTGTTAGAGGGCTGAATTTTGGATATAGAAGTCTTCAGATTTTAGGAACTTTTTTTGGAGGGAGGGGAGCGAGGGGGTGTGCTGGTTTTGGCTGGGATAGAATTCATTTTCTTCATAGTAGCTAGTCTGGAGCTATGTTTTCGATTTGTGCTGAAAACTGTTGATAATACAGACATGTTTTAGTTATTACTGGGCAGCACTTACACAGAGTCAAGTTATTCAATAACTGGCCAATGATTCTACTTGAAGATGACTGTGCCCCTTATTCACCTGTGAGTCGATAATTCCTAGCAGCAGCAATAGGCACCTTAGAGTACACTGGCTTTCAAAACGTTCAGACAAGTGAACCCTTACCAAAGAAGCCAGGTGACTGACTGACATTACACTTAGAGCAGCTTGTCAGCAACTGCAGTCGCTCTCCCATTCCGCTCTATCAAGGTGCCTCAGCCTTGATCCGGAAGTCTCGTAGAAGACTTAATTATTTAAGCATCTCCGCATTTCACAACGCCAGCCAGCTTTAGCTCACCGTAGCCCCTCTGCCAGTTAGTGCAAGTCGTAGTAGTTGCTTTTGCAGTACAGATCCATCTCATCCAGGGGTTCGGCTGAAGCTAACAATTATATTTCAGATAATGTTCCCAAGGAGCCATTACCAGGACTCTGGATTACTCACAAGCCTGGCCTAACGTCTAATTAGGCCCCAGAAGTCAGAAAATCTAACTGGCTCAGAAGATTGCTCGTATCCCATTACCCATCTGTCTTCACCTCTCTGAACAGCAGCAAGAGCTTCAGCAGCCAGAAATGAACAATTTATCAATCACCAAGTCAAGTTTGACAGGAACTAATGTCTTGGTAAATTGTACAGACCTTTCTTAAAAGGATCAATCCATTATGCTTTTATAATTTTTAATGAAGTGAAGGGTAGCTTACTTATTTTTCTTTCCATGATTTCCTTTACTTTCACCTCCATAGGTCATTGTACCAGCCCCCTTCATTATGCAGCTCATATTAGTACTTATATATATATGAGGCTCGTGTCTGAGATCAGGATATGACAACCAACCAACCTAGTTGCTGGAAACCTCCACAGAAATCAAAGAAGCTTTCAGCAGCACATCATTCTGGATTATCAGAAAATTTAAGGACCGCTCTCTCTCTGAAAACATGCTGTGTTAAGCAACTCTTATAAGCCTTCTCATGTTTAAAAGGAAAAGGTTAGCATACAAATGGCTCATCCTTCAGTGAGACATAGCCAGCCAATACACAGCAAGTAACTGGGTAGAATACCCATAGGTTGACTAGCTGATAGAGTTAACTGTTTTTAAGCAACTGATATGTTAACAAGAGATACCAAACCCAGTAGTAGTTACCCTGCACAGCATCAAAGCTGAGAAGTGGCACGGTACACTGCCTTGATATATTGCATTTAGGTTGATCCAACATACAAATCCTAAATACAAACTCTTTCACCTTAAAAACAGAACAATCCTCTCTACCTAACTTCTTTTACAGAACCTGAAAAAAAGGCTTATTAAAATTCTTCATCTACTTTCTTCAGCATTTAAATTGAGCCAAAAAACCCATGATAATATTTCTAAAAATTGTGAAGGCAGTGGGATAGAACTAACATATTCCCGTGCCTGAACTCAGGTTTAACTACTTGAACTCAAATCACACATCTTCAAATCCCTAATGATTGAACTGATAGCATCAATTATCTAAAGGGCTGCATCCAATGAAACACAGCTTTCTGACATTTTCACGGTACATAATAATGCATTCACATTAGGAAAACATTGGTTCTGCAAGAAATATTGATACGTGTACAAGGAATGGTTTGGAGTGGTGTGATGTGGAGCACCCTGTCTTCCATAATAAATAGATAATATTTTCCAGCACCACCTTTACTCAAAGCTCTGTTTTTTGCCCCCCCCCCCCCCCACCCTCTCTCTTTTTTTTTTTTTTTTTTTTTTTTTTTTTCCCCCCCCCCCCCCTTTTTTTTTTAAGGTATGGTTTGATCTTTTCTCTGAAGTTACTTAACATGAGTATATAATACCTCACAGCACTCTCCTGTAAAAGAAAATATATCAGGGGAAGAGATCACTAGTAAGACATACTTGGTAACACTGTAGTCTATCATTGTATTTCATCTTTCATAGAAAAATGCTCAAGAGCATTATTTTTCTTAATGTGCTGTAGGCTAAAAATGAACCCTCAAGGGCTTCTATTGCTCTTCTTGTTGCCAGAGCAACTAAGCAATACTCACCTGAATATCTGCCAGTGTAAGTATCAATTTACAAGCTGAGATGAAGTTTGTGCTGCTAGCAGATGTCGCTAACAGCATTTTTACCATAAGCCAAATTATAGTGGCAAGGGATGCCATGAAAACTCAGGAATATATTACTATTTCACTTGTGCTACTTGATTATTGCTCATATAATTCAAGTGTTTCTATTAAAATGTCTTGACCAATGACATTCAAAGTGAAAGGGTAAAACTGAATGGCTTTTATATGAAATCTAGCGCACTAAAAAGACTTTGTTAAGCAACTCAGAAGAAATCTTGCTTGTCATTAGAAAGCATACTAGGAACCTTTCCCAATAAATTCCTTCCTAAAACTCTTTGTGGTAAGGAGATAGGAGGGGCTGGGGAGAGGGAAGCAGCTAAGAAACATTTGAAGAGCATATAAGGGTTATTACTTTCTGAACTGAAAAAAGGACTCGTTGTTTACCACTGTATCAACCCAAACATTCACACTGTGTTTCTGTTTGAAACAGGTGACGGAAGCATTACTTATATTACTATACTGTACAAGAAGGAACACAACTTTGAAATTATTTGTTATGTGTCAAACCAAACCCAGGAGGACAATATGGAACAGAATCACAGAATTGGAAACATCACTCTCTTTCTTTCCAGAGCAAAGTCTATTGCTTTAAGAAAAACTCAAGGGAACTTCTTCTTGTTATAACATGTACTAAAAATTATAAGACATTGAGAGAGACGTATGGAAAATAGAATAAGGAGAAAGCACCTAAGCTCTATAGTTTCTTACATTCCTTATAATTAATCTTTTTTCTCCCCTTAAAAACTGAGGCAGAGGAAGAAGGAAGCAAACTCAAAATTTCCTCCTATTTCCAACTCCTAATTCCAAGAGAAATAATTTTCAGACATTGGATCAGAACACCAATTATTTCACTCTATTCAGCCAAGCAATCTGAAAGTGCAAGAATTAAAAAGGAAGGAAAACCACAGGCACTTCCAGTTAGTTTTAAAAAAAAAAAAAAAGCTTTGTTTTCACACATATCACGTGCACCTCTGTAAAAGCACCATTCCTGAAGAAATCTTTGCTTATTCCATGCAGAGTTGGATGCAGAGGCAGTGTGAATCAGATGGCTATATGAAGGGATTATAGGCAGAAAATTTTCTAAGCAAGGGATTGGGAGATTCAGAGCTATGCTTCCTTTTTTTTTCCTCCTTGTTTCCCACACAGATATGCAAACTGCTGTGCTATTCGAAATGCAAAGGAATTTATTTTCCATTAAAAAAAAAAAAACAACAAAACAACAAAACCCAAAAACCCTCAGATAACTAATAGTTATCACCGGACTCCTCAACCTTGCATTGTTTATCTTTCAAATCCACTACGCCAGTGTTATAGAAAAGCAATGGAGATCCTGCAACGCTCACTGACTAGATACAAGAAAAATTGTCCTATCTTCAAAGAAAATACCATGTTCTGACCTCAGCATTAAGTTCTACGCTTGCACAACAGAGGTCTGGTCAAATACGTTCTTCCCTGCTCTCTTCCACTATTGTTTTCAGTCTTACCACATGTTTGTTTTCAGCCACACACACTTTTCATTTGATTGACACACCGGTGAAGCTAAACTAAACACCTCCAACTGCTGTTCAGGTTGAAAACCAAGCCAGCATTAAGACTTTCATTTCACAGTCTGTCCATAAAGACAGATACTTTTCCCTTGAACTTCTAGGTTGCTGAGCTCAACCAAAAAAAGGGTTGTCTTTCTCATTTTTTTTGTTTCCTTTTTGTTACACGCTCACTAGGAACACCAGTAGAGATGGCAGAACACATGGAGCTTAGCTTTATCATCTGTCCATACATATGCAGACCATCCTTTTCTAAATATCAGTCATCCTCAACTCAAAAAAAACCCAACAAACCCCACAAAACCCCACATTACAGGGAAAATGGAAAGGCTTTTTTTGTGCGCCAAAGTGGAAAGTCATGAAGTATTAATTTTTATAAAATCCACTACTTTGAAGCCAAGGAGTTGCATTTGGTTGTATGGAGCGACTTGTGCTTCAAGACCAGTTCTAAGCCACATGCTTACCAGTGGTAGCATCCTTGTAAATTAAGAGAGGTAGTCTTGTTTTACACTAAGGCTGAACAAGTTTGTTTCCCAGTTTTCACCTCCTTGAACTATTTTGTAATGACACTCAGGAAGGGTGAACCTCTCAAGTGGCAGCAGTGATCTTGAGGGGAAAAAACCCACAAACTAACATTTCTTCTTGACCTCACTTGCTTTTCTCTGCTGCTGAAGTCTGACCTTTCTCCCTCCCCCGCACCATAAGCACAGTTTCAAAATGAATTGGTGTAAACAGAAAGCAGTATTCGTTTAATGCAATTAATAAGAAAGATTATTAAGGTTTTTTCTCTTTTTCTACAGTCAGAGCTCGATTAGTTAGAAAATACTGACAGCTTCCTTTTTTTTGTGAAAGAGGGAGGGACAATTTTGTTCAGACAGTGGAAGAACATCACGGTGTGTTTTTTTCTCTTTTTTTTTTTCCTTTTTTTTTTTTTTTTTTTAAAGAAGGTACTCTTGAGAGCATAAAGGCTCATTGAACTGCAGTAGCAAATCCAGTAACGTAGCACTTAAGAGGTGGTTAACAGTGCTTTGGTTCAGAATCAGTGTTAGAAAATAAAGCTTAAAAAGTTATGATGCAGGGTATTTGGTGGGATTTCAACAGCAATTTGTAATGAACGTAGAAAGGACTGAGGCATTGGCTTCTTGCCCATGGCAAAGTACTTTGTTCTTCGTTCTGTTTAAGTCCCAGGTTTCACAATCAAGTTTCTCATTTCCATCGATGACGCACTAAGGAGGATTCGTCATTGACCACGTCATTGTCAGTGTAGCGATGCTGACACCGTGGTGGAATAAGCAGCAGGATGATCAGTACAAGCAGGATAACTCCACACAGGCTCATGAGAGCATAGGAGGCAATCCACAACACTGGTTCATGGAAAGAAACGCTAGAAACACAGTTGCTTGCAACATCTGCTGTTGTGAAAGGGCCTTCAATCTCAGATACTGGAGAGCCATCAACTTCTGAGAAATTACAAAAAGAAAAACATTAAGTCTATAGACACCATTTAAAAGCAAACGACAAAAGATCTAGCTTAAATACCTATATATCCCTTTTCCTCCATCATCCTACATCTCGCCACACTCATGTTTTATTGTATTTCTCATTGCAATAAAAATACTAGTATTCTATGTTTATAAAATGGGAATCTGAAGCATAAGGAGACCATGATACTCCCACATCTACACAGGCTGTCAACAAGAGAACAGACATTTAAATGAGGTTTCCCACAGCCCAAATTAAAGCCCAAGCCACTGGATCACCTTTTCTCTCTGGACTAACCTTTCAGAAATGTCAATTTAACAAAGCTTAAAATCCTACAAAACCTGCACTGGAGTAGGTCAGGGCCTGGGCAGTTTTTGTTTGTTTCTGGCACTCGCAACAACTGGAAGAGTACCTCAGGTGATTCTCACATCTTCTGTGTTTGCTATCTTCCAGGGTCTTAGGGAGCAGCATGCAGGATCATTAGCTTCATAGATACCTTAAAGGACTGTATCCTAAACAGAAGGTGCAGGGTGGAAAGCAGCACACATACTCTTGTGAGTGGAGGTAAAAATTCAGAATGAAGAGGAGGTGAGGCAGGAGAGCTAGGTGACAGCTGTACAAAAAAGGGGAATGGTGGAGAGGCAGGTCAACATCAGGAGTGAGGAGCTGGGACATGAAGGAGCAGTGCTGTTGGGCAGGGAGGGAGAAGCTAACCAAGCAGCTTGAAAAATGGAGATGACAAAGCTAAGGCAAGAAACATGAAGGAGTGCCTTGGCAGCTCCATTTTTGAACAGCCATCCATCTCAGTAACATCACAGACTGTGTGAATTGTTTCATTACCATCACAAACCCCTACTTGTTAAACCAGTATTTGCTAAAAAGGGTTATGCTGCCCATGGTTGTCACAGTAACCACAGCAAGCACAGCAAAGTTCCCCTGAGTTGTGGACAGGGCTACACATATTGTAAAGGCAGAGCAAGTGAGTTGCCTAGGGCAACAAAATATTCAGAGCATTTCGTATCTGCAGGTGTGCGGCCAGGGAAGGATGGATACCTTTTAGCTTGCTTGGGGCAACTAAGAGGCTGCAGTTAGTACTGTCTATGCATTTTAACAAGCTTTTCAAACAGTTGTAATTCACTTCTCTAGTCCGATGCTTCAAGACACATTTGTGTATTTCTTATAAAGGCCTCAGTTTTAACCTTCCTGCTTAATTTCTGGTTCATTTTATACACAGACACAGTCTTGCCAAACTGTAAGCGATCCTGCCTACTGAAAACAGTACCTCTTATTTATATGTATCTTAGACATGACTCCTGAAAGCGTGTTTAAAGAGATTAGCATAAAATGCCCTTTGGAAGGAATAGGGGAGCCTGGGTTTTTGAAAGGCAGGAAGGTGGCTTTTAAGGTTCTTTGTGGAGAAACAAATACAGAAAAGTGGGCTGCTTTATCTGCAGTTTATTGGGAGAGATTTTAATTGGTATTCAGCCCCTGGCCTCCCAACACCTCATATTATTTTAAGGTTTAAGTCTCATTAGACTTAATTCAACTTAATCGTGGGCTGCTGCTGAAAGAGACAGTCCTGCTCGCCCTCACTCCTGTCCCTCACTGCCACTTTTGTATTGGTGCTAGTGACTGGTATTGCTGCAAGGAGAGTCAGGGCAACTCGCTGATCTGATGGAAAACCAACCTGTCATAACAAACAAAATGCCCAAATGAGGAATTTTCTGTAGGATCACTCAACTGAACCAACTCATTCTCCAGCTGCAAGTGTGGGAAGACTCCTTTAGCAGCAATATGCTGTTAGAGTGGACTGGGTGAAAACCCAGGCTGCACCCACAAGCACTCTAACACTGGTGAATGCCAAACACTCTCTCAACTCATCAGGTGGTAATAAACTGGCCCGTGCACCCTATATCGTGAGCATATCTTTGCCAAGACACTGCTGTTACGTAGATATGGTAAAGAAGCTGCACAGTAGTGGACAGACTTGTAAAAGACTACCTAGAAGGTCTGTGACAGAAATCCATTTTGTTCAGAGTCCCAGTATTGCACTTTGTCTACCATGCAATTGTTTCTTCTGGACATCTCACCCCCTCACATCATTTCATCTGTCTCTACAAAGTCCTGCAGCAAAACCAAACTAAACCACGTTTAATACTAATGTGAAACGCAAGGCATAAGTATTACTACTTAGGAATTTAGTATTTTGAAGAAGTGGGGGGAAAAAAAGAAAGGGCAGCACAATTTTCCACCTTGGAGATAGTTTTGAAAATAAATAGTCCCTAATTACTCATTATTTGGCTTGAGTACAATAATTACTCCTATTAAAAAAGGCAATACAAAACTGTTGCCATAGTGGCTGATATTTTAAATTACATTTTGAGAATGCTTGATAGCAGCACAGCCTCTGCTGTCTTTGCTCCAAAAAGAAAAGTTTTCCCTCACCCTCTTCCAGCCCTGGAGAAATGGAGAGAAAAATCAAGAGAGGAAATTTGCCTAAATTGTTCAAGCAAGCCCTTAACATAAACTAACAGTCACACACACTTAGCGTACTATACATTAGCTGAATTTGGTTATTTTGGCATATTTTTTAGAACATCTGGTGGTAGCTACCTACAATAAATTCTTGACCCTGAATAAATGAGATTTTCTTCATTATTGATGATTACAGAACAAAAATGGCACCTGTGGAAAAATGCTATTTTATAACATTTGTGTAGAACTCAAACACACTCACTCTCAACTCAGGGTGGTTTGGAAAGGAAGCAAACCTCAAGTTAGATTGAATTTATCATAACCTTGTAAAGTGCTGCTTCGATGGGGCCCCTGGAAGTCACCTAGTCCAGCCTCCAACTCAGAGCAAGACTGTCCCCATCAATAGATCAGTTCAGCTGCAGCTTTATCCAGCCAGGTCTTGTAAAACCCTGAGGAGGGAGACCCCTTGATCCCTTTGGGCAGCATGTTTTAGTGCTGTACCACCCTCCTGGCGAAGAAGAAATTCCTCATGTCTAGCTTGAACCTTCCTGAATGTAACTGGTAGATGTTGCCCTTTGCTACGTAGTTTCACTTGCACTCACCCTTGGCTTGCATTCAGCTTAGGGCCCACCGTAATCCCCAATTCTTTTTCCGCAGGGCTGCTATTCAGCTGGTCCCTTCCCAGACTGTACCCATGCATGGTGGTTTTGTGCTTGAGGTGCCGAACTTTGCACTTTGGTTCACTGAAACTCTTGAGGTTTCTGCTGCCCAGTCCTCCAAGTTACCAACGGCCTTCTGGACTGAAGCTCTGCTATTCATCATGCCATCCATTCTCCCGAGTTTAGTGCCCACAAATCTGGATGCATTCAGTCTCATCACAGTTTAGTGTAGAAATTTATGATTACAGTGCTTGGTTCATTTCTTCCCTAAAAAATACTCAAGTCTTGCTCCTGTGATCTTCTCACTTCCTACAAAAATACTAGGGGTCTAATTCTGCTCGATGCCAAAGTACCATTAGGTTGCTTCACTAACACTAACTAGTTGATCTGAACATCTTGTCTCAAGAAGGGATCTGATCCAAAACCTTTCCTAGTCATCCTGTAAACAGTAGGTGATCCCTGAAATTATCAACAGGGAAGTTGAAACAAGTTGAAATTAGTAACAGGCAGAATAAGTCTTAAAGGGTTTCACATATTGAGGAAAAAGCAAATTTATTTTCCTGCTACAGTGGAATAGTTTCCTGCAGCCATCTATCTAACTATCCTCACTCTTGGTACATCCTGAAGAATGAAACTGGTGCAAGGAGTATTGTGGGATAAGCCAGTTCTCATCTCTAGCCAAGCCTCAATAGAAATTTGGGAGTTCAATGAAGTTAAGGCTTTTAGTCCTGTTCCCCTCATTTTTGTATTCAGCACATACCCATTTAACATCTTATAAAAACGCAGGCTTAAATTTAGTGTTAACACTCTATTGTAAACAAGAAAGCATAGGTCATTGCAAAGCCACATCAAATGGTCTTTTATATTTCTCTATTTCTGAAGATTTGTGCCACCAGTAATTCAATTTAATTTATGCCCACGAACAGACTAAAAAGCTCCAAATAAATTACATTAATATAGCTGCTATGGAGGACATGGCTGGCCTCCACAGGAAGCCAGTTAGGCAGCTTAATCCCTCACACTGCACTGACTGCTAACCACTCACAGTTGTGGTTTTCTGATGAAAGTAGTGTTAAATATGGAAACCACAAGCTGTGAAGAAGTGAATTCAGAATAACTGGCACATCCAGCAAAATGTCATCTGCCCCATGTGAGTGGAGTCTGACAAGTCAGTATATCTTGTCTCAGTCAGTGGCTTGTGTCATCTGATTTCTCAAGAAGCTAAGTTCCTAGGGTGTTAGGTTAGATATATACACGCAACATGGACAAAGAAACAAGAAGGAAATGCCTTCTAGCACTAGCTGGGTATCATCATGTATCCAAGCTCATGTAAATTCAGATTTCATTTCTATTCAGCAAGTTCAGTTCTTCCTCTCTAGACGAGGTCGGCAGAACTACATGAAGTGGCCAAACTCTATGCTTCTGTGTAGCAATATTAACACTAAGGTGTTATTATGGCTCCCTGATTCTTTTTCTCAACAAAGATGTGCTGTCAAAGCAGTTCTTATGAGCACCAGCTGGCTCGCGTCCCCTGCTGACCACGTGTCAGTCAATATGTTCTGTCAAAGTACCCCCTCCCCTCTCCATTAATGGCTGCAGTGTGGCAGGGATAGGAGGCAGCTCTATGCTTGCTAAAATTGCAGTCAGGAAGCACAAGGAAGAATGAAAGGCAAGAAACCTGGTCTGCGTATTTGTCTAGTTGCACTCTCCTTCCAGATGCATTGAAAATGTGTCTTTCATCACTGCATGGTACCTCACAGAGGTCTTCATTAGGCAACCCACATCAATATCCAGATTTTCTTTCATAGCATGCTCAAAGATGACAATTTTGAACCCATTAACAATAGAGAGATTAAAAAAAAAAAAAGGCGCTTTTAAAATGCCCTGGAGCTACAACTCAGCTAGCTAGTATCTCTCTTTTTTCCCCTCAATTACCTGGTTGCATTAAGCACTCAAGTACTTGCTGCCCTTATGCTCTCTAACATCCTTACTGGGGATTAAAGAAACATTTTCAGTCATAGTCCTTTTCTCATGCAAATCTCAGATGATACAATGTTTTTCAGGACATAGACCACTTCTGTTTGGGACAGAGACTTGCATAGGGGTGCACATCCTCTCCCTCCTCTCCCACTTGTATGTTCTTGTGGTGCCAAAGCAATGTCTCAGCAACAAGGGGAGGAAATCCCAAAACTTTTGTTTTTATCTACCCTTGGTGAGATAAAAGAAATCATGAAAAAACAAGGAAGTTAACCAGCACTGTGAAATCAGCCAAAAATTATGAGGTTTTTCACATTTCCTCAGCAGCTAATTAAAAAATTAATGGCTTTCTACTCACACTGAGAAAACTATTTGTTTAGAACCAACACAAACACCAGAAGTCTTAATTTGAGTCCCATTTTCATCTTGGCTCTTTCTTTGAGTATTTCTGAGAGGCTGAAAAGGCACAATTTACATTAAGAGAAAAGCAACAGTAAGGTACTCCACTGTGCATTGCAAAAGTTAGTTGAAGAATCCATTTATCCATATTAGAACAGGAACTACACAAAAATGAAGCTGCATTAAAAACAGGGACTCGAATCATGTAACTGTTGGGGAAACTGCACAGATGTCTCAGAAAGAAGATCTCTCAGAGGGAAGAACGCAGCTAAGATACCCAGAGCTGAGGCTGATTTACTTCATGCCAGAAGACTGTTGCGTGCAATACAGCATTTTTTTCTCCCCTTGAAATCTGAATAGCTTGGGATTGCTCAAAAGCATACCCTTCACACTTCATGAGTAACCACGCTTTTCCCCATCAGATAAGTGGCAAAGGTGGTTCTCTGATAGAGCCGGTGTTTCCTCACTCACCAAGTCCTGAACAATACTTCTCTTACCTGCACATGGACTCACTGCAAAGCCCACTCTCCTCTGGGCTCTGTCAAATATTACATAGAAGCCTTCCATGACTGTAGCACCAATAACTAGAGCACTCGTGGAGGAAGAGATGCCGAATCGGTAGCACTGTAAATTTTCTCCTATTCCAAGGATGGGCTGAATATAAAGCTATTAAAAAAACAAACAAACAAAAAAACCCCAGAATGTAAGAAGCAACACCACACTACTTAGAAGTTCAGACCTTTTGATTTTTATATTCAAGCACTCAAACTCCACTGGACATAGAGAACGAACAGGGGCAAACAGATTTCTGTACATGACTTAAAACTGGTCAAAGCTTACAGGTAGGTAAGAGGTAAAGCTCTTGGATTCTAAGCTTAAATTTGAACACAGTCAGTTGCTACGTGAGGGTCAACAGCAAATTCATGAAAGCCACTTTTTATTTTATTTTCCATAAGGGAAGGATAGCTGAGAAAGAACTTGGGATATGAACTCAAATTAGAGAATAATTTTACTATTTTAAAAATTATCAGGATGTAATTGATTCAGAGAGCATTCAGTGACAGCTTCAAGGCTCTAGATTCATAAATTCAAGTCACATTTTACCCCTCGTCTACTCAGGGAAGATGAAAGATTGCCAAGCTACATGATCAATGCAGAAAAAGCTTATCATAAGGCTCTACTATATTTCAAGTTAAAATGTAGTTAATAGGTTCATTCTTCCCTTTGCTCCTGACCACCCTCTGAGGTAAAAGACTGTATTAGTAATGTTAGAGGATACTAGCCTGTATTGCAACCTATACTGGGAGGGGAAGCCAGAGAGGAAGAATAAAAGTGGCACATTATATTCTAAAAGCTGGGATGGAGTATTAATAAAAGATAAACCAACCAAGTTACAGAAACTGGTGAAGAGATCACATAGGCTAATTGCCAAGACTGTCATATTCAGAAGAAGTGCTTCAACTCAGAATGCCATGAAAAACAAATCAATTTGTTGATCACTTCCCAAAATGAGAAGATAAAAATGAGCAGCGACATTCTGTATTGACATCTAATGTGGCTAAAGCTTGTGAAAACAAAACAAAAACTTGCCTATTTTTCCTGACAATTTGAAAAAAATCATTCCCAACTACATGGACTGCAGTCAGAGGGAAACTGTTTTTCTTTTTTAGTTTTAGGTTTGACAAGTTTGTTATTTTCTCTATTTAAAATTTGATTTTTAAAATTTCACTTAAAAAGATTTCCCTTGCATGCAATAAGTCAGTTCTCTATTACCGCTAAAAATAGCTCCTATTTTTTTAAGAGCGTGTGCTTTATAATAGTAAAAAGAAATGCATAACTGAATAAACAAAGAGGGTTGAGACCTGTGGTAGGACAGAGATCCGAAATGACCTACTGGAGTTTTCATCCCTCAGATAAATGGAGAGTTTGGGAAATAAGGACCAGGGTCTTTCAGTTTTATCCCAGCATGCCAGCTGTGAACCAGTCCAGAAACCAGAAGAGAATTCTTGTATCTATTAAAAAAAAAAAGTGATACATACAGTTTACATATATTTTGATAGATTTTTGTAAATGATCGCTACCACTATGTGATACTTCTTCCTTTCCCATGGAGAAATTCAAGCATGAACACAAGTCTGACAAAGAGCTTTTTCTTTAAGGACCAAAGCAAAAAAAAACAACACACAAATCGAGGCGCATCATAACCCATTATGACTTGGAAGAAGGGGGAAGAGGCAAAAGCAAATTTAGCTCTCCCTTCCCTCCCCATTTGTATCTCATTACTTCCACTTCTGCAATGAACATGTATGACCTCCCTGCGCAATCAGTACCGCAAAGAGGCAAAGCATCAATGGGCTTTTACTACCTATCTACCTCTTCGCTGAACAACTCTGACCAAACACCAACATTTTGAAGCAGCAGACATTCTTTAAAAACAGAAACCAAAATACAAGCCACATGAATATGTAATGGAGTCATCTCCCTTCCTCACATACCTACAGTTTCTTACTCAATTCTAGGGTTTTTGAAGCCAAGGGCTAAGCTAAAATCTCCTGGCATCTAAGGGAATCAAGGTCTGCTACAGTCAATGGAAAGAAACACATCCCCCTGTCTCTTTTGCTGCCCTGCCACTCACTACCAATACAACTTGGCATGCTTTTGAAATAAGGTTGATTAACAGTACTTAATATATCCACGGCACTAACAAAGCAAAACACAAGCCCCTACAGAGCTTGTTTGCCTAAGACAAACATCTTGTCTAATGTTCATGCTCCCTGACGCTGATCTGCTGCCAGATCAGAGGAAAAACCTTCCTTATTTGAGTACATTACTTTGCGCTGGTTCTTATTCCCATGTGAAGCAACACCCAAGGCAGAATCTTGTTCTGATGCTGCACAGCCAAAGCCTCCCGTTTGGGTGAAGAAGAAAGATGGAATCCAACCTCTCCACTCCCCTCATTTGTATTCATCTGTGATATCGATTATTTTGTAAACATCAGCTTATACACCAGTTATACGGCATTTTACAGGTGACAAGCATTCACCCCATCCCACATACCTGCTAATGAAATATTTGTTAGGGCTGCACAGTATCAGAGATGTAATACTTCCAGGTGCTCACCTGTGTTCTTGGGCCAAAAAGCATACACTCATGTAAACACGCAATGAGACTTACCGTCACAAACAGACTGCTTTTACCCTTAACTCTCAATGCACGCTTAAGTACATCTCTTGGCATGGGACAGAATGCTCTGCTCCTCACAGCTAAGTCCCAGGCCAGACCTGCTGAAAAATATAGTTCTTCTCTCCTTCCATTTTGGACAGACCAAGTCTACAAAGTGCTCTATTTTAAGTGCATACTTTCATTTCCCAGAAAGACTGCTCATTACATTGCATTTTTTTGCCTTATTTCTGTATGCTGAAGAAATGCATTGGAGGGGATTTGGCTGTATGATACCTAAAAGGTTATTAAAATAAAGATTTTAGGTTTATTTGAGCCTCCCTTTCTTCAACTTATTAACTTAGCATTATATTAATGCCGTGAGTAGACATGCTGTTCTGACTTCAGCTCAGTGAGGTGTAGCAGCTGCCACCCCTCTGTGGCTCATCTCTGCCCATCTGCCAAAACCACCACCCTTCAGACCTGCCAACATCAAACTGCATCTATAGCTGCTCCCTAAAAGACTTCAGTCCAAATAAGTAAGGTTTAAAAAATAATCTGCACCACTAAAGAGCATAAAGCTCACAGCCTTGGTTTTTAACGGAGCTGAATAAAGGAACGCTTCACGTGTAGTTATCCCAGCATACCTGAGGGGGCAATAACATCTTGCTGGGAAGCTCATAACAAGCTGCTAGGAGCAGGAACTTGTTAACTTGGTTCACCTGTGGCCCGAGAAGTATGTCTGACTACAGCAGATGATTTTATGTTTCAGTGGTACATAGCCTGCCAGAAACACAGAGCACTAAGAGTACGGTTGTGATGCCATGGTACAATTGCTGAAAATACCCACTTTCCTGACATTGCTTCTACACAGCTAGAATCTGATCCTTACATCTTGTAACTACTTTCTTATTTAATAGACTATCTCCTTTTTTTAGAGCTGTGAAACTAATTTTCGGTGTGTGTGGAGCAGAAGGGATACAGCAGCAAGGTCCTTGAGATTAAAAAGAAACCCTAAAAGAGAAGTTAGTTTATGCATTTTTAATAGGAAGAACAAAAACCATTAAGCGGAGTGAGTGAGTGGTTCCCCTCTAATACCTTATCGATCAGTTGACTACTTGTCATGTGGAAGGCCCTAGTTCAAATGTCCTGACCAACATCAGAGAGGAGCGTGGACTGCTGTGACCCACTTCACAGGCGGATGCCCTGTCCACAAGGTGCCATTACAAGAGCTCTCGGGTAGGCTTCTTTCAATTCCCTCCCCATCGACTGAAATTGTTCCAGTCAATACTTAAGTGCTTTGCAAAGAGAAGAACTTCTCAACCAGGGAAGCTGAGCTATGTAAGATAACTGGTACATTTATTTCAGATACTGGATACCTGCAGGCAGTGAAGAACACTTCATGCCAAATCTTTGCTCTTAATCAGGTAGGAAAAGGATCTCAGTCTTGAATTATCAGCATACAGGCTGATATCCTCTGTCTTTTGGGCAGCTGGCCAATAGTCCGGTTACTGTATTTCCTGTGATTTGCAATGACTACCGCTGTCTGATTGTGAATCCATGACAAAAATATTAAAAGTGTTCGCATTGAAATACCTGGGATTTATTCTTCATCTTTAACCTTTTTGGCACTGTTCATTGTATTAAACCAAAACTTATGAAAAGTTTTTATTAACCAGAAAATGCTGCTTCAGTTACTCTACACTCAGAGAAATCCACCATCCCCATGCCCTACTTCTAAAGCCCACTCTATTTCCAAAGAAAGATGCTTTTAAACATAAATAATTCAATAATGAAGGTCAAAAGCAGCTTTATTGATATGAATAATCCTAGTGAATGGCATCCATTCTCTACAACAATAAGCATTATACTTGGAAAGGAACTGCTTGCAGTAGCAGGTCCTTCTACTTTATAAACACTCCATTTTGAATGAAAGGACTGATTTTTGCACTCTTAATACTTTGAATCAGAGCAAAAGGGATTATGTCCATGTTTCTGAAATGCTTAGAACAAAACGTTCCATCTCTGCACTATTTCTGATGCATTTCCATACACACGCTTTTTGTCTGTACTTGGACCCCCCTTTTCCCTCCTCCCTTTTCCTTGTCACCTCTTCCTTTCCCTTTTCCATTTCCATCAAAGACGATCAGTCCTTTCTCACTTATTAACGGGAGTAGACCAGGAAAGATTTTGCTCCCCTCAGATTTAACCTATGACTTACAAGGTAGGTAGCAAAAATGACACTCCTTTCAAAGATCATGTGATCATTTAATAGGAATTTAATATTTTGAGCAGATTTAATGATTAGCTTACCAGGGACGTGCGAGCTATTGCTTGCACAACAGCACCGAAGACTTTCTGGGGCAGACGGAGGAGCGTGGTCCCACTGTCTACTATCGCTTTATCGGCATTATACTAGGGAGGGGGAAAAAAGGAGAGAAGTTACACACTGTAGTTAATGTAATGCAGATTCCACTGTTTCATAACAATAACAAAGCTGTTCCTGTCTTCCCAAACCTGTGTCATACCGGTCAGCAGCTCGCTCTAGTTGATAGCCTGAATTCAAATAAAGTCTGGAGCAAAAGCGAGATATGGTCAGCCTAGACACAAGAGTGAGTTTATCTGTATCGCTCAAGAAATTACTGCGTGTCACCACACCTGTTCCAAATGTCCAAACCACTGTAAAAAGAAGTAAAGCCCAGCCCCTCTCAGAGGTGTGAGCTAATCCACTTTATCTCCCATATGCTTTGGGCAAAAGCACTCTCACGGTCAGTGCAGACAGATGCTAAGCACGCTGATGTAGCTTACATACATGTCCAAGCTCTGGATCAAGGCCTCTGCTATCAGAAAAACAACTCACTCTAGTTTAAACACAATACAGCAGCCTACTTTTGATCACTGGCATATCTAATTTAAGAACAGTCAGGGAACATTAGGCCTCATTACATGTCATGTTCGGTACTGGCTCAAGAGTACAAATGCCAAATGCCACACCTTTCTCTCTCAACTGCTGAAAATCACTAAGCCATAGACAAAAATATGTACAGAGAAACTTGAAATTTCAATCTTGCTGCCTCAAAATCTGCACTAAAAAAACCTAAGCAAACATTTCTCTTCATTATTAAAACCCCATCCCTCAGATTAAGAGATTTCAGCAAACATCAGATACAGTAAACAAAGAAAAAAACATTTTAAAAGGTACATCTTTTTCATGAACTCCTTAAAAACTATGATTAATTGTGGAAACAAAAAGGCAAGTAGCAGCGGCAGCTGTTTGCATTAACTGCTTTTGTTATCAAGTTAGGCAGCAGGATCAATATAACTGAATGGTGACATGTTTATGGCATAATTATACAACACAAGGTAATATACAGCATAAGCTTTTTAGGAAGAGGTCAAACAGCAAGCAAATTTAAAATACCTTGGTTTAGATGTTATCAAGTCACATGGCATATCTTTAGCGCAGTGACAAAAATAAAACACACCAAAGAGTAAAAAAGTAACTCTGACTTAGTTTCTTTTTGAAAGAAGAGGTGCTATAGGCTGCCAAGCAGAGCTGAAAGAAAAGCAAACAGGAACCCATTTATTATACACTCAGAAATACTTCTCAAGAGTGGAGAGAAATATCAAGGCATTGTGGAATCCCATTTTAACAGATTTGTACCACAAATACACAATCACCAGCATCCTGGAGAGCCACCCTTGGAAAAAAAGTAGGTAGTAGGCACAGCCAAGAGGGTCAATCACTAACATAAAACCATGAAAAATGCCTGGAGTAGCAGGATCACTTGGCCAGGGACTAAGCACCTATATTTTCATGCTGTGTACAGTGTACCTGCAGCAGGCATTAACTTCTTGCCTTCTTAGTCTTCCTGGTTAATATTTAACAGTGCACCCTATGCAACTTGCACTGCTGGCAGCTCAGTACTTCTCTCAGCCCTGGTCTGCCAGGCTCAAGGCCACAGCTGCAGCGCAACACTGGACAGATTCCCAGCATTGATGCAAGGGGACTACTTTTCCCTTGAAGGAAAGGAGTAGTCTCTAGTTACGGTTACAAAAAATGTTCCATTTCCTAGAAAACAACTAAGAGGAGAGAGGGCACATAGTTCATCATCCTATACAGTGAATTATGCATCCTCTGCAAGCCCTTAACTAGCCAAACTTTAATCATACTAGCTCTGATTTACTGTTCTTCCTCTAAATTTTTGCAGGAAGATCTCCTTTGATGAAAGGAATGATGCCTTCTGTAACAGTGACTAGCATACTATGCTAACATGTGCAATGTGAAAGCAAACCCTGGCTCAGAACAGAGCGACAATAACAGGAAACTTTCGTAACACCGCTAGGTTTTTAAGTTAGTTGTTTTCTGGAAACAGCATCTATTAAACCGTTAGTACAAGGGCTTCTCTTCAAAAACATGTTCACTGTTTTTTAAGGCAAGAAACAAAAGGAAACACAAACATTTTTGTTAGAGGAGCAGCAATTCTGCTTTCCTAACAGTGTAATAGAGAGAGGCATTTAAATAGACCTTGTTTTGCTTATTAAGTTGAAAGACAATATGACTTATTTTAAATATTTTATATGGCAATATGATTTCCATATTTTGTATGGAAATATAATATTTATGCACATGTAAGATTTTTAATGTGAATTTCACTTAATTTGTTTGATCTATAAAAACTTTAGAATTATTGTGTCCCAATGATTTTTCAACTAAGAGAAAAAGCATAAGATAAAATTAAGATGTCTAATGAAAACAGGGCATGAAAATTATAGAACTAAAATCAAAACATGAATAGCAACAAGCAACAGTAAGAAACAAGTGAAATAAACACATACACACATATCCTCCGGAAAAAAAATGGAACGTCGTTGGAATAAAAACTGCAACAACACAGTCTCATTAGACTGATCCAGAGATAGTAGAACATTATTCTTAATAAAAACAGAAAAAGTATCCATGACAAATAATAACTGGCAAGGCTAAAGTGAGCAAAAGTGGATTAAAAAAAGAGGCAGAGGATAAGATACTTTTTGGAAGCGTCCCAGGATGACACCTGCCAACTGCCATAGTGAATTACATGCTTAGACACCACCACAGGGGTCAATCCAAAATCTTCCCTTTTCTTTGTTTGACCAGAATTGCTTTAAAACCCTTTGGTTTGATTTTAGTGTATAACAGAAAACCATAAACTGTGGTTGTTTAAAGACGGTTACTCATTGAATCAATGCACCATCTTCAGTGTTTAGACACCTTCGTTAAAACTGAAACTAGTCAAGAGGCTGAGCCTTTCCAAACCACAGCAGCCTTATTTTCAGTGGCCTGTTCACTTGACAATTGTAGCTTAGTCCCTAATTTACTGAAAATACTATCAATGACTTTAAAGTCCTCTTTGAAGCAATTTTAGCATGCTTGATGTACACACTGCATTTCACATGGCTTGTTCATTTCTTTTCAAACTTGTCATGCAGCCTTAATTATCAGAGGAGACTGCAATACACATCTGCTTGCAAAGAAAAAACTGATCAATTAAGTGTTTTTCTTAACCAAACTTGTGTTTTATATAGACAGAAACACATTATCGCAAATACCTCTCTGCAGTCCAGTTCGAGGTTCTGTCCTCCGACCTCCAGTTTGAGAATTTCAACCTGGTAATACCACTCCTCTTTGACTGGTGTGTACCAAATATCACCCTTGTACAGACTTGATTCAATTCCACCCAGAACCTACGGGAAAGGAGAAAGGAATTCACATGCTTTAAAATCCTGGATGTTTAGTTTTGGGGCAAGTACAGGAACAAAGAGGGTTATTTAATTGTGATACACAGGGCATCAAAATTTTAATTTAGCCCCATTTGTAAGGATTTTACTGACAAGTTCTTTGTTAATAATAAAGCAGTATGAAACATCTAGACATTAAATAGATTGTGCTTCAGTCAAACAAAATTCCCATATTGGGCCAAATTACCAGCATCTTCATCTACAAATTCACACTGATTCTCTTATGAAAAGCTCCACTGTTTAAAACCAAACCACTATCTTCAGTGGTTTAATCTAGGCAACATATAAAAATGGGACAGAATATTAAACTTCTACATCATAAATGCACTTATCAGATCAGAAAAGCCTTAATACTGCTTAAGAACATTTCATTTTTCTTACACACATCTGAAATGGAATACGACCATCCCACCATTGCTATCACTATTAGCTTCCATCAAGACTTACGTTGAAGCTGACTGGGAGCATCCTAGACCATCAGATTTTGAACTGAACTCACATAAGTGAGTTCTCCTTTGGGCTTCATCTATCTCAACATTTACAGTGTGTGAATTTACAGCAAAAAGAACTATCTGTGACCAGCTCCTGTGCTGATATGCTTATTTCAGCATAATTCAGGAACAGTCATTTCAACTCATGATCCAAAAATTCTTGGCCCCACTAAAACTGATGGAAAGATTTCCCAGAGTAACAACAAGGTGAAGATCTGGCCTTCAGATTATTTCCTTTGGTACATTGTCTACAAAAAAAAAAAAAAAAAAAAAAAACAAAACCTTGATTCCTCTCCCCCTTTTCGCATCATGTAAAAAAAAATTACTGTAGCATTTTGATGAGTTTGAACAAGCTTAGCAGCTGAGTAAGGGGCTACTCAGTTTAAGAATGGTAGCAGAATGTGCCCTGAGGAAACACCACAACATTTATGTTTTTCTTTATTAAAATTAAACTTGAAATGCAGAAGTTTACTCAAAATTGAGAGAGAGAAAAAGAAAAGAGCTTAAAAATAGACACTTGAGTTTTGCCTAAATGCTTAACTTTTCCTTAAAAAATTATAAAACATTTCATATACTTAAACACTAAATTTGGAAGAATTAGGATAGTCATAGAAAAGAGGGAGAGAGATTAACAAAGATACACCTTCCCTCTCAGATTGACAGATACCCACAAGACTACCTCCGTTGGTACCACTTCCAGAAACAGGCAGTCCAGCACCACACATCTGCAAGGAGAAAATGTTGGGGATCTTTGCCTGCCTCACAAGAGAATCAAAGAACGTCTCCACAGAACTTGAAGGCTTGAAGGTGTTGAAAAACAAAACAAAAGAACAAAAGAATTGCAGAAGCATTCATTAAAAAGTTTCTTTGCAGAAATGAGCAAATCATTCAAACAAGAACACTTTTCACAAGTAAATTGAATTTCTGACAATGAGGTGATGAAAATTCTAGATATAATAAGTCATTAAAAAACCAACATCTGTCATTTCTGTTTCTGTTGTTTTAAAAAACATTTTTACTCTTGACCACTGTCATAGAAATCCCTAGAGCATGAGAGTATTTTTCAACTGCAGTTTTCAAACTCAAATACTCGTTTCAGTTTCAGGCAAAAACTCTCACTGATGCTTTCTGTTTGGAAAAGGCTTTGGGTTATTAGAACAGTCAAATGTAACTTGCCCTTCCCACCTTTCCACAGTTAAAAGGCAGAATTTTCAAGTGAGGATTTTCAGTTTTTAAACATAGTTTAATTGTCATGAACTTTGAATTCAATGGCCTAATTTCCTCTTCTTTCTTTTAAAAAACTTCATATTCAAGCACACTCACTTCAGCTGATTACTGGCCAACCGGTTTTTTCCTACACTGCATGTCATGCTTGTCTTTGCAGTTATTAGAGTACTGCAATTTCACTGTAATTCAGATTTCCATGCAGGTACATCTCATGACAGGCAGAGACCCTGGCAAGCCTGCGAGGTGCCAAGTACTCTTACTACACAAAGCACAGAGCACCTCAGAAGCCAACCCACTTAAGTCTTTGGAAGAAGGGAAAAATAAATGCCCTGAATACACTATTTGTCCAACCAGAGTTTGAGAAGCAGCTCTTCTCTGTCTGTCGACAGTGTATGACAGCAAATACAGCAGAAGTCAATACAATGATCACACAACTCTTGAATAAACCATTTTAATTCCAGAGTCAGCAGGCAGTATTGAATCATTTGCTCTAATGGGATATATCTCAGTTTGTGAATTTCTCAGACAGTTAACGTGTAGGTTGAAAACTATGACTATGTAGTATTCCAATCACGTTTTCAGTTTTACATTATAAGGTTATAAATTTTAGACTATAAATTTTAGGTCTTAATTTAAACTTCCAGCTGAATTTCCTACCTCCACAAGAACAGGATGTGCTTGGTTCTATGTTCATGAAAACACTGTAGCTAATATTTGTTCTGAAATTATCCATATATGCCCTCCATCTCAACTTCTACTTGATGAATGGAGAATGTCTTAGGATGAACTGCCAAGGGCTTTGCCAAGTAAGTTCATCATTCCATTGACAAGTCTTGAGGGAGATCATCAGAGCCCTAATAAAGACCCTCCACACACATACCAGAAGCCTTTACTCCCATACTCTGGTACTACAAGATCTGTAAAAGCTTATTCATTCCAGTGGAGCTAAAATTGAAGCCTTCATCACCAGAAAAGCCAAAATCCTCACATGGGACTGTGGTACCATCACAACCAAATTTATTCTTTCCGAACAAACACAAAGGATTCATAGGAAAGAGTGATTGGAAGGGAGGAGTCTAATGCTGACCAATCTCTGCTCACTTTATTTTAATAGTTAGATTTCTATTTATTGTCATTGTGAAAGGCTGGGGAAAGAATGATTTACCTTGGCTAAGGCATCATAGGCAAGACCAAGAATTCCGTGCCATTTAACCCCTGGTAAGAAGAAATTCTCTGATTCAAGAATGGTAGCAATGTTGATGGTGTAGCTGCCATAGATTCCTTTTGGGATAGTAATGACATCTGTACCCAGCACTCCAGTCCAGCTTCCTTGACTGTACTTAACTGTGACATCAATCCCTTGAGATCTGTATGTACTCGACCTTTAAAAGGAAAAGATAGACTTGTGCAAGAGCTGTTCATTTACAGTGAAAGACAACAGAATATGTTCAATCTCAGTTTTTCCCAGAGAGGAAAAAAAAGTGAAGTCTGCAAAGTCATTCATATAAACTCACATAAGAAGGGCGATGGATTATAAAAACAGTAAAAAGCAGTAATAAAAAAAAAATCCTGAGGCCCTGTTTTTATACTGAAGCCACCAATGACTCAAGTCTTCACAATGTTTGCCTTGTTGTTTTGTTTGGTTTTTTGATTTTTTTTTAATCTAAGGTATTATGCCATCCAGTGCAATGTGTCCTTGACTCAGACTGGTCCATCACAATAGAAGCAATACTCTTTAACTAGAGACGGAATGTATTAAGTGGCACTAGGAAATGAAAAGCTCCTGAATTCAAATCTAAAATTGAAATGCCAAGCTAACTGAATAGCTGTAGAATAATACCTCATTAATATTACTAAAAATCCATTTGGGGTAAATTGGAATATTATTGTGAGTATCAGCAGTAAGACACACAGGTTTTCTAAATCTGCAGTTTGGTCTGTCTATCAGGAACTAAGTAGACTTGGATATTATTAACAAATGATTTGCTGACTTGGAGGAGGAAAGGAAGGAGTTCCTTCTACACCAGAGCAGCAAAGGCAAAGGAGCAGTTAAGTATGGCAAGCAAAGAAAGGAAAAGAATCCTGTTTAGAAGGCTTAAAAAAAAAAATTAGAAAAAACATCAATAGATTTTTAATTTTAAAATCCTGTAGTATCAATATAGTAATCATCTTCCACCTGCATCACTACTGAAGAGCTACAAAAGTTCTAGATCTCTTACAATTTATTTTGGTCCCATTCCTTGGCATACAGCTTCCCCTTCTGAAGAAACAGATGACCATGCTTGGTTCATCTGAACAGACTTTTCACTTGACAGCTTTTTTAAAAGTAAATTTAAAAAAAAAAAATGTAAGTTTAAAATAATTTCATAGCACTACCTTTACATGTGCGTAAAACAATAGAAAGTGCAGATGATTTATCAAGTGTGGACAGTTTTATCAACCCAGCTTTAATCTAACAGCTGTTCTGACAGAAACAGCCACATGAAGTGGCTTCACAGTGCCTTGTACCTGAGCTCGCCAGAATGAAGTTAGCATGATTTTGCCTATTATGGGGAACAACCTTTAGATGGCAACACAGACAACTCCCATCCATTCCCTTTGACAGCGTTTCTCACAGCATTCTCCTGGAGAAACTGGCTGCTCATGACTTGGACAGGTGTATTCTTTGCCGGGTAAAAAACTGGCTGGATGGCCAGGCCCAAAGAGTTGTGGCGAATGGAGTTAAACCCAGGTGGTGGCCGGTCACAAGCGGTGTTCCCCAGGGCTCAGTATTGGGGCCAGTTCTGTTCAATATCTTTATCAATGATCTGGATGAGCGGATCAAGTGCACCCTCAGTAAGTTGCAGATGACACCAAGTTGGGCGGGAGTGTTGATCTTCTTGAGGGCAGGAAGGCTCTACAGGGGGATCTGGACAGGCTGGATCGATGAGCCGAGGCCAACTGTACGACGCTGAACAAGGCCAGGTGCCGGGTACTGCACCTGGGTCAAAACAACCTCATGCCATGCTACGGGCTTGGGGAAGAGTGGCTGGAGAGCTGCCTGGCAGAAAAGGACCTGGGGGTGTTGGTCGACAGCCGCCTGAACATGAGCCCAGCAGTGTGTTCAGGTGGCCAAGCAGGCCAATGGCATCCTGGCTTGTATCAAGAATAGTGTGGCCAGCAGGACTAGGGAGGTGATAGTGCCCCTGTACTCGGCCTTGGTGAGGCCACACCTCGAATACTGTGTTCAGTTTTGGGCCCCTCACTACAAGAAAGACATTGAGGTGCTGGAGCGTGTCCAAAGAAGGGCAACGAAGCTGGTGAAGGGTCTAGAGCACAAGTCTTATGAGAAGCGGGGTTGTTTAGCCTGGAGAAGAGGAGGCTGAGGGGAGACCTTATCACTCTCTACAACTACCTGAAAGGAGGCTGTAGCGAGGTGGGGGTTGGTCTCTTCTGCCAAGTAGCAAGTGATAGGACTAGAGGAAATAGCCTCAAGTTGTGCCAGGAGAAGTTTAGATTGGATATTAGGAAAAATTTCTTCACTGAAAAGGTTGTCAGGCACTGGAACAGGCTGCCCAGGGAAGTGGCTGAGTGCCCATCCCTGGAGGCATTTAAAAGACGGGTAGATGTGGTGCTTAGGGACATGGTTTTGTGGCGGACTTGGCAGTGCTAGGTTAATGGTTGGACTCCATGATCTTAAGGGTCTTTTCCAACCTAAATGATTCTATGATTCTATAATTTGAGCAGACACTTTATCTTGAGGGACAATTTGGCCATATGAACCATGCAACTGATCCTTTTCCTAGCTAAGGGAGGAAGGGAGTAGTAACAGGCCAGGCTCTAACCCTAAGCACTTCTTGATACTCCCAACACCTAACCCTTCAAGGGTCTTCAGGCGCTCAGTAGCTTGTAACATCCAAGACAGCAGAAATACATGAGATAATAGGCCCCACAGATTATATTTCAAAATGCACGAATTTCACAGATACTGTTGCTGCCTCTGTCTGGTCACTTCTACTGCTACTGCTGTTTTACCTTGCTGCATAATTCTGCATTTGTATGACACTTAGACAAAAGGATATTTCTGCTCAGGCAGGGTCTTAAGAGCATCACTGTGATAGTGGCAGTACATTTTATAAATCAAAATAGAGTCTGAATAATTAGTGTCATAAGAAACTAGAGGACGGCAGGAAAAGGAAGGGAAAATATAGGGTTCTTCATGTAGAAAAGTGTCTGGCTGTGCAACAGAAGAGGAAACCTGAAATCAGAGAGAAAAGCGAGTGCTGGGGGAATAAGGCAAAGCAAATCTGCAAATACAGATGCTTCATGACTAGCAGCAGCAGCAGCACATAGGTCTTCTTCCATAAGCGGTAACAGCCTGATGGATTGAGCTGTGGACCACGACACAGCAAGACTGAGTTCGTTTTCCAGCATGGCTGGTGAACTTCCCTGTGGAAAGGCAGGACAAGTCACTTCCTTGCCCTCTGTGCCTCAGCTTCCCCACCTGTAGAAATGGGTATGAGGATACTCATCTCATTTGTAAGGCACACAAATGTCATATTGAAGAGAAGGCCTTATTATTTCCTTCAAGGAGCAAAATACCTAGCATGGGAAGGGATCTCACATGATCCTTGTGGCAGTAATTATATTCTGTTCTGAAAAAACACTTCCTGCTCTATCTTCTTGATCAGCCCCTGTTTTTCCACCTCACTGATCCAAAGGAAGAAAACTTCTTTAGAGGTCAAAACTAGAGACTTGCTCTAATTCATGGGCTAAATGTTTTAAACAAACACACAGCACAAAAAAATTCCGAACAAGCTGTTGTGGCTATGATGAGAAAATAAGAAATTCAACTCTTCCATCAGGACAGAGTGTATCTTAGCCAGAGGGAAGGAAAAAGGCTCCTAGATTATGGTGCTGTAGTGCCCCTACTCCCTTCTCCCTCTCCTTCCTGGTTACTTCTCTCCAAAGCAGCCAACAGAAACGTGGTCCTCAAACCTCGAATGGATCTCAAGAATGGATCTAGAAAACTAGCAACAGGTTCATTTTCTCATGCAGAGTTACTCCTCATTACCAGCATATAGCACTGAACAAAACATAGCCAAAATACGATTTCTCATGTCGTGCTTCATTCGAAGGAAGCTCAACAAGGCAACAGCAAATCCACTATGCAGAAAGCCCTGCTTAACACTGACCTCACGAAACACATGCAATTCCTTCTTAATTCCATGCTGTCTTGCTGCTCTGCAACAAACCAGGACTTCAGATTTTCCTGCTTACCCATTCACTTTTCCTAAGCACCAAATCAATGTCTCCACACACAGCAATGGCAAAGAAGGGACAGAAAACAGCAATGGGCAAAAAAATCTGAATAGAAGTTTTGATCTCCTCTCTAGTGATGGATGGCACAAGATAAGTGATTCAAGGCCAACAACTTAACAAAATGCAAACTATTCCACAACATAAATTATTGATTTTTAACCAAGAAGTCCCATCTTATTTGTAGGAGTTCTGGAACAAGTTTATAATTTACCTCAAACCATAAACAACCAAACTCGCAGGATCATACTGCAAAGCAGCAGCTCACTTTTGCTTGCTGGTATATACTTTACTGTATTACCTCAATTTATTGCCCATAATTTTCTTACCTCCCTATCTCTTGGAATGATTAACTCTTGAGCAGTTTGCTCTTGAAACTTCAGACGGTGAGGCAGTAGTATTCACGCTGAAATAAAACTGAATACTGTAGCCCTGAGTATGTCACTCTCTCACATACTGCTACAGAGCTGACACCAATAATTTAGTTTCAAGTGTAAAAATCCCTTTATACATCTGTTTATGTAGCTCTTTTATCATAAGTAGCATATTCAACATACACTACTTGTTATTTTGAACAGCATAAGAAACAAACACTGTGATTTCTTTTCAGTTCAGGACGAATTAGGCCATTTCCCAAAACCTTATACATCATGGTGACTTATACAGCATGATCATCACAGCAGACTCAGAACTTTTCACAGCAAAGTTTTGTCAGAGCCAGTCAAAAGCCCAAGCTGTGAAAGAGTTCACGGTAACAGCTTTATTCGTTTTGTACAGAAAGACGCAGATAATTAAACAGTAGAATTATATGACACAAATTATACAACACACTGTCATTTCACAAGCTAGTTCTAAAATTGCTCAGGGAGGGCTCTTCCTGAAAAACATACCCTCTGGGTCCTTTGAAAAAAACATAATGTCTTTCCTATTCACCCTCCTCAATTTCAGTCAAAAAACAATCATGCATTTAATTTCAGTTTTTGATCATTTGAATAAAATTAAACTAAGACCGTGTCAGTCAGGAAATTCAGACCCATGACACTCTCTCTCCAACACAATATTAATATTTTAATACGCACTCATCTATAACTCAGTCCTATTAACTTAACAAATTACTAATTCTTCCTTCACCTCATCTTCAATTTGCAGTTTATGACTTTGATATGGCAGCACTTCATGACAATATAGGGAAAAACTGCAGGAATGATTACCAGATGAGAGGAAACCTCTTTATCTGATGTTGAAGTGTTTCACAGTGTGGAAGAAAAGTGCACATAGGTCATTTGTGTCATTTACACATGGGTAAAGGTCACTCAGGTAATTTTACAGATCCAGCTGATGTGGTATCAAGGCCCCTATTTACCATCTATGCAAAATCATGACAACCAGGGAAGGTAACCTGACTACTGGGAAAAGGCTATCATAAGGCCAGCCTCAAAAAGAGGAGCAGGGCCGAAAGAACTATAGGCCACTGGGCTTCACCTCAGGTCAGGAAAAGTCTCAGAGAACAACCTCCTGTAATCTGTTCCCAAGCACATGAAGGGCAAGAAGGTAATCATGAACACTTAACAAGAAATTTCACAGGCATATCATACCTGACCAAACTCATTGCCTTCTGCAACAAGATGACTGGCTACGTGGAGGAAGACAGCGCAGTGGCTGCAGCACATCTTTACTTCAGTCAGGCCTTTGACACCATCTCCCACGGCATTTCCATTTGGAAGCTGAGGATGTGGGGCTGGACAAACAGACCACTGTGTGGGCTGAAGATGGGCTAGGCCACTGGGCCCAAAGGGCAGTGACCATTGGCTCAACATCAGGCTCGTGACAAGCATAGTGCCCCAGGGGTTGTGAGTGGAAGAAAAATTGTTCAACATCTTCATCAAGAACCTACACGATGGACAGACTGCACCCTCAGCAGTTTTGCACAGGACACTACATTAAAGGGAGAAGATGATACGCTAAATGGCAGAGCTTGAATCCAAAGAAAGCTTGTAAAACAGGAGGACTGGACCAACAGAAACCTCATGGCATTCAACAAGGAGAAGCACAAAGTTTTGTAGATGAGGGCAAACAACTCCACGCATCAGGACAGACTGGGGGTGATGGTGGACACCAGGCCAAATAAGAGCCAACACTGTACTTGCCCTGTGCATACAGCAAACTTTACACCAGGCCACATTTGGAGGGCCATGGACAACATATCCAAGGAAGACGCTGTTCCCCCTCTGGTCAACACTGGTGAGACCACACCTGGAATAGACTGTGGCCAGCTGTGGGAACCCAGTTCAACAGGGATCTGGAGAAAGAGAAAAGAGACTGGCAGAGGTCTACCAGACAGGTCAGGTTCCATGAACACAGGACCTGTGATAAGAGGCTGAGAGGAGCTGGGCTTCAGTTTTGCAAACAAGAGGCTAAGGGGAGATCTCACAGCAGTTTACAAGAACTTGAAAGACAGTTACAAAGATGACACAGCCAAACCTTTCTCTGCAGTGCCAGACAATAAGACAAGGGGCAACTCCCATGAGTTACATTTTGTGAGGTTCAGGTTGGACATTAGGAAATATTTCCTCCACAGGACAGTGTGGCGCAGCACTGAAACACAGTGCCCAGAGAGAGCATGGATTCTCCATCCTCAGCAGTTTACAGAATTTGGCTGGACTCAGCCATGGTTGACACCATCTGGTGACAGCCCTGCCTCATTTGGGATATGTACTAGGTGACCTACAGAGGTTTCTTGCAAACAACATTTTTGAAACATCAAACTGATTTCAATGGGGCCAGGATCCCTCCCAGATGACATTTATTTAAATGTATTTAAAGTATTTAAAAAGGAAGAAGCATGGTGTATCCAAGTTCAAGCACGCTAATGGTTGCACTTTATTCTGAGCATATTGCAGTACTCCATCAATCCAACCCAAACCAGAAATTGCTATTGCAATTGCTCTGGACTATAATGACTTGAGTTTGAATCATTTTACAAAGCACCCTTAACTCTTCGGAGCCTGAATTTCAAGGTTTCATTATTAACTTTGTATCAAAGTTCTCAAAACACATTGTACACCGAGAACACTGATAAGAGACTGTAACCTTCAAGTGACTTCACAGCCTTTCTCAATGCACAACCTCTGCTGTTGTTGCTGTTTCTCATGGTTTATGGTTCTTATGAGAGAGGCCTTGCCCTTCCAGGCAAAATAACATCACTTAAGAGAAAAGGGAGAAGGAATGCTTGTGCTTTTAATTCCTTGCAATTAAGTTTCCTCTAGCCACTACCTATGGAAGGCGACAGCTGGCATGTAAAACTTTGCAGTAGTGCAGAAACAGCGTTCAAATGCAAATTCTGGACTTTTCAGACCTGCGTCATATCAGAGTGAATGTGAAATATCTCCATTAACATCTGAACATGTGACAGGAGGTAAGGCTATTCTAGTAAGCAGCATGGAAATACTGGCTTTCCCTCCATTACCAGTGCATCTTACTGGAAAAGTGCAAAACCCCATGTTAAAATACATAAAGAGGTAATGAGCATGGTGATACTCTCCAGCCTCCCAGTCCTATAAGTATTTTTATCCATATGCTTCAGCTAAAGATAGACACTGTGTTTTGTAGAAGTTTATCTGAAATAATTGAAACTAGAGAAGGACAGGAAGAAAGCAAGAAAGGAGGGAGAGTGATTCAGACAGACAAAGCTGTGCTTGGCTGTGACTAATGTCAGCTCATGCTAAACACAGCAAATTTAGTGCATAACAAGCACCAAAACCACCAAGTTGTATCTTATAAACAATCAGATTCAGCAGGGTCTGTCCAGATCACTAAACTGATCAAGGCCCTTGGTCAAACTAAGCAACAAATTAGTTTTTCACTAACTAATTTTGGTTTTGGATGAAATGTCAAGTAACAGATACAATTACTGGGTTTTAATTTTTGTTTTTAAACAAAGGGAAAGTATATTTAATTTTTTAAATCCTTCCAAGACTATTCAGTTAAGAAATTGACTGAAATTGGTGTGATTTTGCAAACGATTTTTACCCTGTAATCTTCTTTTTTCTCAATCTCTAATCAGTGCTGCGCTCAGAGCTCAGTGGGACTGTTCATGGTGTCAGGCAGAGCTTTGCATCAGGCAAGGCTGATCAGGCAACAAACATCCCACTCTCATGGGATGTCACAGGAGCCCCACATACTGCCTTACCATCCTCTTTGACGTGGAGGAGTCAGAATCTAAAAGACACCCTAACCCATCACAGAGTGCAGAACAGGTACTTACAGCTTGGTATTGAAGTAGGAGGTGACATCAGGATCAGGCACACCTGCTACAGCAAAATTACTGCTCCCAGTGTCAACCAGAATATTTAACTGCCGAAACAGAAGAAAGGAGAGGTGTTTTTCATAACCAACTAAACAAACAAAAAAATAATTAAACTTTTTGTCTAAACTACCTTCATTTTTTAAAATTATAATGAAAGTTGCCCTGAAAAAGAAATACAAAGTGTCACTTTTCAGAAAGATATGCTGCTGTAGCCCCTGAAATACTTTAAAATAGTCACAGGGGGTGACCCAACAAGCTCATATTCGCACAGCAGAGGAATTCATGACCATCTCAAATTTCTTTTTGGCCCAACCCATGTGTCTTGGCAACCTGGCTAGTCCGGGTTACACACTGAATTGCATACTGTTTAAATCACTGTTTGCCTTACAGCTTATGAGGTTTTTACATAGGAGCTTAGTGCAAGTCCGAGCAGACATAACCAGAAGCATGAAGCTGCCTCATGGCTTGGAGAGCACAGGAACATTGCTCAGTTCGTCCTGAGCAGCAGCAACCTACCACAGCTTTCACTGCCTTTAGACAGGAGGATGGCAGATTTATAAACACTGTGAAAAGCATGGACTGAAAGGTGGCCTAAGAGTGGGCCACTTGTTCGGTTAATTGGGAGGATGATTTAGGCCAAAAATTGCCTAACAAAACCACACAGACAAAACGAGATGCCTCCTTTCCCCATTTGGCTCAGGTTAGCAGGCTGGTTCACCACAGCTGCATGATGGCTTGTCCTAGCACAAATTAGAAGGTAACAGCACAGGAGCAAGCAGCCAAGTGCAGGATCACCTACTTGAAACTACAGGTGACATAAAGTGATAATTTAAGTCAGTCAGAGACTGTACTGCTACCAAAAGCAGTGGTCACACATCTTCCCTGCTCTTGGCTGGATGCTTCCCAGGGCTTCTTGGCATAAGCGCTTGTACCCATGGGGCTGTGATGCAAATCAGATCAGGTTCCTCACCTACAGTTACAAAAAAAAAAAAAAAAAAAAAAAAAAAAAAAAAAAAAGCAATCTGCCATATCAGACAGCTACTTGAAAAGAGATTTGAAAAGAGATAGTAGGAGCAGATACTAGAAAAGGGCAATTGCCTCCTTTGGTGACAGTGTGGTCTCAGATTGGTTTAAAATGATTGTGAAATTATGCCCTAGGCAATAGGGGACAACTGCTCCCCAGAAAAATATTAAGGAATTAAGAATTTTCCTGTAGGAGGGAGTGAGACATGAGGACTGGGTTGCCCATGGTTTAAAGCCAGCTTAAACCAGCCACTTTGGTAGTCGTCATCACTCCTTAAGACGTGAGGTAGCTAGGGATTTAGCACTGAAAGTGGACATGGGAAGGGTAAGAGAGAACGATAGGGGAAACAAGTTTAGTGTTGACAAAGGAAGTGGAGAAACAAGGCTGAGCTCAGAAAGGAGAGTAAAGACAAAGGACGATAAAGCATTTGGAGAAGATAAACTTATCAAAGAAGGATTCAGCATAAGATGGAGCATAGACAAAAAAAGTGTGAGTCAATGTTCAAAAACATCTTTGGTTTGCACATGGAGAGGGAGGGAGGAGATGGTGACCCCTGTTTTACCTAGCCAATATAGTATGGGGCTGAGGAGCTCTGAAATTAAAACATGAACATAAAATGAACTAGTAATCCTGGGACTCTCTTCTGAACGGCACGCACACTCTGTCATTGGTATTTCCAGTCCTAATCATGCAAAAATTTTAAGACTAAACAGAAACAAACCCACAACCTTAGTCAAGTGCCTCACTGCATCCCAGATTTTAGATTAAGAGGAAACAATATATTAAAATTTATTTTGCAACCACATGAGCTAGACACAGACGTTTAAAAACAAAAGGACATCTACAAGTTCACCTGGCTCTAGGAGCTGAGGCTTTAAAAGAAAATAAGAACCTCTGAGCCATGGCTTGCAATAAAATCCAAAGTTTGCTACATACTTTATTTCAATGATATCAAAAGCCTAACATTTTGTCAACCACCTAACAAAGTAAGAACTGTTCATTTTTTCCCCCTCTCTGGGATAGAAATCATATTAAAAATAAATAACAAAGAGCAGCTACAATGTGTGCATCTATCAGGACCAACAAAAGTTGCCTCAAAGGGGTGCTGCAGGGCTTAAATTAATTAGCCTTTCCAAGGCAGACTGCGATGCTTGAGTAATGGGCACTATACATCAGCTGCATAAATACATGTAGGTGTTGCCCTAGCTTCAGTAATATGCATGACACCATACACGGAGGAGGACTTGGAAGAAAAAAAAAAAAAACCAAACCAAACAAAAACCCAATCACTAAATATGACATATATGAAAGATATTTTACCCCCACACCTTAAATACAATGTTATCATCACAGAATTCACAAATCACTGAAGAAAAGGGCAAATTTACTACCCACAGTATGGAGCAAATCAACATTTTCAAAAGAAAATAGATATCCCCCACAAAAAAAAAAAAAAAGAAAATACAAAGCTGGCTAACCATGCAAGTGCCAGCCCACTTGGACACAGCAGCATTCACATGACAGATCGCTATTGAGGCTGACATTCTCTATCCGCATGTTTGTGCATAATGAGATGCAGGCGGCCAGGGCAGACACTGATTTATTGTAGTCCTCACAATAGCGCCAGTGATTAGCAGCTCATTTTGGGGTGGGTATAACTTACTGAGTTCTCTTTCTCTCCTGGCTACCCTTTGGGTTTGAATTTTCTTTAGTGCCTTCACGTCTCATTAAGAAACACTTTCATGTTGTCACCACTGGAGCCTACTTTATTCCATACTGCCTGCTGCCGGTTTAATGGTGCTGCTAGGGGAGATTCAGGCAAGATCTGGTGACTCACAGGGTGGCAACCGAAGGAGCTATGGTCCAGCACTGCCCGGCCTGCCCCATCTCCAGAGGTCAACCCTGCCCTATCCCAAAAGATGAAGCCAAACTTCCTCACTTCGCTCACTCCCCTGCCACCGCATTGTGCCGCCTGGCTTACTAACGAAAACCGAAAGCAACAGCACCTCAGCTTGATTCACTGAGCTATGCGCTGTGACAGCTGGAGAGTGGTCATACCTCTCTGTGCCATTACCTTTCTACCACAGGGACAGAAGACCCTGATGCTGAGGCAGTGCCACCAGCAGTGGTAGCATCCCCTCCAGCTCCCTCCTTGTGAAGCCCCAAAGATGGTGAATCAGGGCTCTCGTGGGCAGGCGGAGCAGGTTCCTTGGGTTTATTAAGGCTACCTCGAGTGAATCACTTCCTGTCACTGAGAGCTGATTATTTAGTGATCACCCTGTGTTGTCAGAAAGTGTCAGATGAAGTCAGATTTTGCAAAAGCTAAGGTCGGAGAGACACGGCTGAATGAGGCTATGGAGGAAAAACTGCCCAAAGACTGCTGACGGATCATGTGCCCAGCATTAAAAACAATGAAAGACTACTTCCCTTTCACTTTTGGAGGCACAGAAGGAAAGCCTTGGGTTTTTTTTTATTGTGTCTTCCAAGTTCAATTTCAGACCTATATAGCAGAAAGCAGACAGCAAATGGAAAAGGCCATTTTTTTTCCCCTGAAGGTCACCTTTACCACAGCCATGGGACATAAAATCTGCACCTAGTACCATACCTGGAGATTATTTTGCTGGATGCATTTCCTATATGGAAATAGCATGAATATTAATAAGAAATTCATAAAGATCCATAGCTATAGAGTAAGCAAAATAGTAACATTCACCTCTGCCATGACAAACTTACAGAGGAAATCTTACACCCTATCTATATGCCATTAAGTTGTGCTTATAAAAAGAAACAAATCCAAAACTGTTTACTGAAAGTCAGGAACATTGGAAGCAGAAGCCTCCTTAGGCCATGCATTTTATATATTTTCTACTCTGAAGGGGTAGAGACACTGAAAAAAACCCAGTCATAATGATTTATTTCAACTGGAAGTCAAACACATTGTTAATACTTCAAGGATCCCTCAAACTTTCCAGTGCTTGATTTAGCGCCAACATCAAATAGCACTTACTGTATGCTATCCTGCTTCAATAATTTAACTTACCACTATGTATTTAATATTTTTAAGCTTTCAATTGCTGAACATTGTTGTATTTTGATATCAGAAAAACAAAATTGTCTATTGATCTGTCATCTTTTTTTCATTCAGCAAAGCTTCATCTGTCTGTGGTTCAGGCACCTGCCCTATCTGTTACAGCAAGTGGCGTCAATACGACGTCATCAACACTAGGCATTATCTATGCCTCATTTAACTGCCTGGTGAACAGCAATTTGCAGTTATCCCACCGTGCATTCAGAAAGTGACTTCCTTCCCATTTTCAAGGAAAAGTGATAAAATGTAGCAACCATTCAATTTTTGTTGCATAGACATTGCTGGCATGCTCTAGCAGGGACAGACCTTGCCTCTATCCTGATTTACTCAGACTTCGTCTAAGTTTCTCTTTCCTGTTTTAGTTTGAGGTTGGGAGTTTTTGGAAACTTTCAGAAAAATATACAAAACAAATCCCACAGGCTACAAGCGTGTAATGCATTTCTTTGAAGCAGCTCTCTGTGTGATTTAGCATATGCAGCCTTTTCCAAGTGTGGAATCCTAGAGCTTGCATGCAACCCTGTTGCACTGTTGCTTTTGATGTGATTCCCTGCATAATCCACACTGAGCGAGTGATAATCTTCATCCCCATTAAAAGACTGGCCCATGGAAAAATCCACCGTAGTTTTTTTCCAAGTTAATGGGTCTGATCCTTTTAGGTCAAGCAATAAAAGTTTTGCCACTGGATAGAAGAAACCAGACTGAAAAAATGTATTTGGCTTTTTATCCCTGCTTCATCTGAAGCATGGGTGGGGGGTGGGAAGGAATAATATTTGCACAGATAGAGCCATAAATATAATAATCAATCTCATTCAGCCTTACATTTACTCTGGGGTTCAGTCAAAGTCTTAATGATAGGCAATTCATAGTTTCCACCGCACAAGCCAGCAGACCAAAGAAGCTGGCTCTGTAAGAGTTCATGATGAAAACTACAAGCGATCATGCCTTGTCTGGGATTTTCACTTCACCCAAGGGCACCCCTCTCCCCTTCTTTCCCATCCCCAATAAAGAGAGCGACCATTCCACACTACTAACATTCATATGCCGTTCAAAATCTTGTCCTGCTGTGCTTTCATGGTTTCTCCCACGCACACACTTAAAATAGGGCTTATAGTCCTACTCTGCTTGATGGAGTATGCCACACAGAGAACTATCACAAAGTAAAAATGTTTTTTTGTCCACATGTAGAGACTATAAATAGGAAGCATCCCAGTACTGGCTCATGAGCTCTTACCACACATCACGATGTACTGGCTTAGCAGAAATCCACCCCATCTAACAACCCCTGAACTTGTAACATCTCTTAACTCCCTCTCTTTCTTACTTTGTCCCACACACAACAAACCCTACAGAAAATAATTTGCTAGACAGCACTTAAAAAAAGGTGCAAAGAAGTGCTATGTTTCTTGTTAGGGATTAGCAGCTAGAAATCATTTGGGTAACAGCTCTTCTTTTTCAAGCTGGTTAATAGATAGGAAAATTAGTTGCCAATTTAAATACTGCCTCATTTAACACAACGATTCCTAATTACATTATCAGTTCATCTGGCAAGAATTGCTTACAACCATCATGCAAAAAAGAAAACACACTAGCAACTATATGCTGTGTTTGCCCACAGTTATTACGTGTAATTGGCACAGATTGTCAGTCAGGTTATTTCAGCAATTTGTTTCTAGAAATTAATAATGTTACAATATACAGTGGCTTTTTAAGCACAGAATTACTGTATGCTTTTTTTCCTGTGTTACTTGGAATTAGCATTTATGGCCTACTTTCTAATAAACAAATTCAGAAGACTAGGCTTTAATACAGATTCTTCATCTGTTCCTCTTAAAATACAGAAATAAAACCTAATTAAAAGATGAGTTAGAGGAATCTTTGGAAGCATGTCTAGATGCAGAGGCGTGCAAAGTTAGATATAAACTGAAAAAGCCTCCACGACACATTTCTGCTTGCAGAATAATACATATTTTGCTGAACAGGTAAGACTGAAACTGAAAAGGGGCAAGTTTGTCGATCTGTACAACAGAGCAGCACACTGCCCCTGAACACTGGGGCAGGGACGGGACTCCTGTTTTTCATTACTTGTAAGTGGTCCCTGGGCTGGAGCAGCCCAGTCCTCATCGCTCTGCAGCAATTCACCTAGGGGTGGCCACAGAATCACAGACTGGCTGAGGTTAGAAGGGACTTCTGGAGGTCATCTGGTCCAACCCCCTGCTCAAGCAGGGCCACCTAGAGACAACTGCCCAGGACCATACCAAGACAGCTTTTTAATATCTCCAAGCATGGAGACCCTACAACCTCCCTGGGCAACCTGTGCCAGTGCTCAGTCACCCTCACAGTAAAAAAAGTGTTTTTCCTTATGTTTAGAGGGAACCTCCTGTGTTTCAGTTTGTGCCCACTGCATCTAGTCTTGTCACTGGGCACCTCTGAAAAGATCCTGGCTCTGTCCTCTTTGCCTGCTCCCTTCAGGTATTTATATACATTGATGAGATCCCCCCGAGCTGTCTCTTCTCCAGGCTGAGCAATCACAGCTCTCTCAGCCTTTCCTCATGCGAGAGATGCTCCAGTTTCTTGAATGTCTTCATGACCCTTTGCTGGACTCTCTCCAGTATGTCCATGTCTCTCTTGTACTGGTGAGCCCAGAGCTGGACACAGCACTCCAGGTGTGGCCTCACCAGTGCCGAATAGAGGAATCCAGAAAACAACTCAGCTTTTTGGCCAACAGCTGCACGGCCACTGGTGACGATGGAGAAACACCCCACCCAGAGCCAAACGACTCTCTGCAGCTTGGACTGTATCAATCTTCACCTTCGAGGAGGAGGAGGAGGAAGGGGGCACATGTTATGCTGAGTCCTGGAGGAGAAGTATTTCCTGTGGTGCCCTGAGGGAGGTAACCTCACCAGAGAAAACAGACCTATCTGCTACTACCTCCAAAAAAAAGTCCCCCTGTAGTTGTCAGAAGGGTTTAACCATGCAGCCAAGATAAGAGAGGCAGTGTGAGAAAAAAAAATGGAAAGGAGATTAATGATTTTCTAAT